CCGACAAATTGGACGTCGCTACTGTACGTGCGTACCATATAAATGGCGGTGTCCTCACTGCTCAGCATCCTTTTTTCTTCAGACAGACAGCGAACCGCCCACTGACCTTCACTGTCCGGTCTGATCGCCGGGGTCGACACTGATCGCTTCTGCTTTGAATGCCTCGGCAGGGACCACGCCAGAGATGGCATTCGCCAACCGCCGCCGTGTGTTGACTGCTCAGCCATTCCACTTATCCGTCGACAGCAGCGCTGGGAGCATTTCCGGCAGTGTGAGCTCTCCCTCATCTGCGAGGAGAGCGAGGAAGACGCCGGCCCGGATCCCCTCCCTGCTGAGGAGGATGCTCCGGCCCCCGATCAACCGCTTCAGTTGGCTTCATGCTCCCTGCCGTCCCTGCCGATCGACGATGATGCTGACAGCCTGTCATCTGCGTCGGCCACCTCTACCGCGGCCATCTCGGCCGTGTCTAAAGAGCAAATGAATTCCTCTTCATGGCTATAGCGGCGGGGCGCGTCCGACTATCACTGCCCCCCCCCCCATCCCGCCTAAGCCGGTGAGTCGGCTCCAGGAGGGGTTCTACGGACCCACTCGCCGTTGCGGGTTTGATTGATTTCCTGTGTGCAGGGCCACACTGAAACAGCTGTTCCGTGCGTGCCCCGATGGAAGAGGCCCTCGCCCTTCTTCCTCACTCTGCTGGCTGGTCAGCAGGAAGGAAGCCCTGCCCGCTGCTGGCGCAGGATAGGGGGACGTTAAAATATTCCAACTGGGTGTGCAGCTGGCCACAGTGGCCAACAATCTGGGTGTGCTGGGCATTTCGGCGGCATCTGAGTCCCCGATCGCCCCCCCCCCCTCTTCCTCATCGGACCAGGTGGATTTCCTGCCCCATCAGTTAGATGAATAACCTGGTCCAGGGTGTGGCCACCACTGCTGGGCGCGTGATTTCTCTGGCCACAGCAGGTTCTCGCCACATGTGGTTGGGACTTACCGCTCTCCATGGGAAGGACCATCTCATCCAACGGCCTCTTTGGCTCCATATCCTCCGCTACTCAGCGCTTCAGAAGCCTGGAGGAGGAGAAGGTGCAGCTCAGTTGCCACCTACCGCTGGCTCAGGGCAAGGGCGGCGAGCCTCGCCGTCGTAATGCCACTCTCAGACGACATGCTTGCCGTCAAGCCAGATGTCTTCATCACCGGCCACTCCCCGAGACACTGGGCCGCCCAGGGATCCCACACAGGTGAGGGGATCTACATCACGGCCAGAGGAGCAGCCTAGACCCCCCCGCCAGCCTACCTGCGGCTGGGGGAAGAAGTGGCCGCTGAAATGACTGGCTGAGGAGGGAGAGCAGCTGGCCAATGTTGCCGAGCCCCTCCCCTCCGTCTCATGTCCAAGCCACTGTGTTAATATGTTGTGTGCTGCTTGTGACAATGTTGTGAATGTACCAAATGTTTTGATTAAAACAACCTACATTCCTCAAAGAGCTAATTCCTCCTCACCAACCCCTTTTCAGCAAAGTGTTGTGCTGAACACGCCACCTCAACACGGCGCGTTCATCGACGCTAAGCTAACGGCTTGCCCCGTGGCCCACACCGCTCTCCCGGCTAAGGCCGAACGAGACGGTGGTCCACAGTGTTTTCGTGCCACACAGACATACACGCTACGCTGCCAACAACTGCTCCAACGAGAGGTTGCAGCGCATCACGGAGTAACCGTGGTAGCAGCAGCCTAGCCCGCTATTACCAGAAAAATTCTACCACTAGCCATGTCTCTCCCGTCATAGCGAGGCAGAGAAGATTGCTTGTTGCCTCTGCGAGCGGCTTGCTGCGCCGTTTGCCCACAGAGGGGACACTATCTCTCCCACAGTGGCCAACCACGGTGGAGAGGAGAGCTCCCCGGCTCGTCACTGCTCCTCACGACAGTTCTGCCGATAGCGACAACACTGTCGCAGGCAATGACGTCAACGCCGTGGTGCGTTCAGGACACCACAGTCCGCTCGTTTTTTTAGGGACTTCAATCGAAAGGGCCAAACCGGCCGTGGTGACCTTGAATGCACCACGGCCGGTTTGGCCCTTTCAATTGCAGCCCCCCTTGGGCCAAACTCCCATTTACGGAGCGTTTGGTGGCGGTGAGGGCCGAGGAAGCTTACTAGCGTTTCAGCTAACAGCGCATCCCCTGACTCATTTCCACACGGTATAGAGACGCTGCTGCAAGCCAACAGACTGGATGGACGGCACATTGAGGTGGGGTTACTCCCTACAATTTTGCCGTATCCCACCGTCTTTCCAGGGCATCGAGGAAGCCAACATGTCCTTTCAGGAGGAAGTGGACTTCCTGGCCACAGAGATTCAACAGCTCCTGCAGAAACAGGCTATCTCTGTCGTTCCAACCCACGACATGTACAAGGGTCTTTACTCCACGTACAGACCCATCCTGGATCTCCGCTACCTGAACCAGCATATTGCACGGAAACCGTTCCGCGTGCTGACACTCAGGAAACTGCTAGAGCTAGTACAGCCCGGCGATTGGTTGACAACCATAGACCTGAAACACGCCTACTTTCTTGTGGAGGTGGCCCGGAAACACAGGAAGTTTCTGCGTTTTGCCTTCCAAGGGGTGGCTTACGAATACATCAGGCTCCCCTTTGGCTAGTCACTGGCCCCACGCACATTCAGCAAGTGTGTAGACGCCGCACTGCTACCATTGCGCGATCAGGGCATGAGGCTCTTTTTCTACTTAGACGACCTCAGGCCACCTCAGTCACCTTCATGGCCAGATAAAAACAATGGGCAATTTTCCACACAGCTCAGTTGATTTTGCATCTGAACAACCTGGGCTTTGCAATCAACTGGGAGAAGAGATCCCCCTATCCCCGCCAGGAGGTGGAGTATTTGGGGGTTGTGCTCAACTCAGCCAGCCTGAGAGCTCATCTGTCGGAACTCAGACAGGGGCGGTCCCCCACAGAGCGAGTGGAGACCCCGATATAATACAGCAGATTTGGTCTCGCTTTGGGACGGTGCAGGTGGACCTGTTTGCTAGACGGCACATCACCCACCGCCCGCTGTGGTTCTCGATCCTACCACAGGACAGTCCGCCCTTGGGCGTGGACGCGTTTGCCGTCGCCAAAAGGGCTGCTGTATGCTTTCCCCCTACTCCATCTCACCTTCGTGTCTCTGCACCCCAGTGGGACCTGCCACTGGTACTAAAGGCTCTGAGATCAAATCCCTATGAGCCCCTGGAACAGCCCTCCTTGAAGATGCTATCTCTCAAGACAGCCTTGTTACTGGTTCTCACCTCTGCCAAGAGGGTGAGTGAGCAATGCGCCCTGACGGTACTAGACGAAATGTTAATGGATCACCAAATTTATTACAATTTCTTGGCAATCCATCCAAAATATATTTTTCTAACCTAAACAAAATGTTTAAACTTTCATGTAATGCAGTACTTAAATATTACATGTAAGTCCTTGGCAGTGCAAATAAGCTATATATATATGTGTTGTACTACCACATAGAACTGTGAAAATCCCACTGCCATTGACTGTTGCTAGTGTAAGTGCTGATCCATATCCGAGTGTGCCATATGTTTCTTGTGTAACTTATTGCTTTCCCATTCCCAATAAAGTGGCAGAATAAAAAGGCTTTTACAGGTCCCTGTGGGTAGCAGCTACTTCCAGTGGTAGTCACTGAGCTGTGGGGCTGCTGTGGTGACAAATGGCACCGAGCACATATTTTACTATTGCCATTTACAATGCATGATCCAGGCTGTGCTGCTCAAATGACTGTGCCGCAACACTGTTGAGAGTTATGTTAGGTGGAAGACTGTGTGAGAGATGCAAACACACATACAACTATATATTGAACTTGTTTTGAGTTTATTCATCACTCACTTAAATTTGTATCTTTTTCTTGAGGACATTTCAAGGTGACACTATGGTTGTACGTAGTGGTAGTAGATGTCATATTTGAATGCACTTTTGCAAAGATGGCATCTTCAAAAACAGAAATTTAGATCTATTACCACATGGATGTGTTGACATAAATATGGAAATGTGGAATCAGGACAATAAAACAAACCTGTGGTCACCATTTTTCAAGATGATATATATGGCAATATAATGTTTCATTATCCTGTAAACATCTTTATTTTGTAGCGCAGTTAGTATAACTTGTTTGTGGCGGTAGTGAAGGACACGTTGCTACTCTTTACCATTCACTCTTGATAGATTTGAACAAATTGCTGGGTTCGTATCTATGTTGTGTTACCGCATTTTCCCTGTAACCCACTTTGAGATAATGTACACTGTGATGGAGTGGTAAATGTACAATAGCTGGGTCAGTGACCTCCATTTCATGGCCATAAGTTACTGCACACAAGCACCAAGATAAACTAAATCAATTATGAAGTTTCATCATATTCTTTTTATAACCATTTACAGTTGTCCAAGCTTACATCATTTAGTTTTTATACAAGTGTACTTTGGCTGCAATACAGTGGACACAGTACTTCCTTTTGCAGGTCCGACGGCCGTGGCCGTCAGGGGGCAGAAATCAGACAGTGAGCTCTTGGAGAAAACGTGTTCCACACCGGCATCAACTATAGGCACGCGCACGCCGGCACACGCGCAAACAATAGATATATATGGATTTAAAACACTAAACACTAAGCAGATGTAGCGCAACACACACACACACACACACACCTACGCACCAGGAGATTTTTGTTTTAATCCCAGAAAGTAAAAATAATCTGTCTCTGGATCTGTAAAAGTCTCTGCAGGAAAATATGAAGAGGTGACAGCCCTGAACGTATCAAACAACAAAAACAAACGTCATGAAGTACAAAATGTCATGAAGAGTCAGGTGTTTTCTAAGTGCGATTTTATTTGTATTCTGCGTTTGATGTTACTTAAGTATGAAAGAGGGAAAGGAGAACTAGAGAGTCGAGTATGGTAGCCAGAGGGCGGTGGCATTTCTCTCTCTCTGCGTAAACGGAGAAGGAGCGAGCGCACGGAGAGAAGAGCAGAGCTTAGTGGCGAGGCAGCAGTGCAGCTGACACGAGTGAAGGGACACTGGTTATTTCCACCACCTCTCTCTTCTCACAGCTTAACCTGCGCCTTCCAAGACGGACTTGGACATCGGGACTCGAGGCTGTACACTCACCCACCTTTGGTTTTGAACTCGTTTGATCAATCAGCAGACCCTGTGCTGGTGGTGGTTGAGGAGCGGGGGGTTTCTCGTTTCCCCCACCGTGGACCGAGGAGTTTTGTGTGTGTTTATGTGTTTTACGCGTTGCTTGTAATGAGGAAAAGTGGACTGAGAAGTGGAATAGGACACGGGGGTTGCAGCTTGGTGAGGATGTGCGCCACGCCGGGGATCCTGGTTCTCCTTGTGCTCGCACACCGAGCAGTCGCCCAAGGTAAGGCTGGAGAGCGTCTTTTGGATCTTTTTAACACCTACACCTGAAATGTTTCAGAGCGATCAAACCTTTGCTTCGTCGCCGGGATGCGGCTGTGTGGCAGTGGCGCGGCATGCCTGTAAGTAGGCTGGGAGGCTGAAGTAGCTGCCGAAGAGGTTTAATTTTTTTAAGCCATCTTTCCATTTAAATCGAGCTGATGCTGATGAGCGGCTGCTACAACGGTCAGTGTCTTAAGGTGTAGAACTGCGCATTTTTTCTCCCGGTTCAAGTGTGAAGACTGAAAGGAAAAACTCACAGGCCACCTTTCGCTGCGAGAAACACCCTAATGGGCTAATTTAATTTTACATTTTACTATAGTCCATACATATAATATGTATATGTGGTCTCGACCCGTTAGTGGGGACAGGATAAACACGAACGTGACCGCAAAAACTCCCGAGAAACGTGGTGGTGATCGTGGGCACTTTAGGTCCCTGTCGGAACTGAATATTGCAGTGATTTTTCATCATGACCTGTTTCACTTTCAAATGGGTAAATAACTCCCTAGGTTGCAAGTAAATGAATAAGTGAAAACTGACGGAGTCCACATTATAGTCAACTATTAATGTGTCGTTGCAGAGCACTTCGCAATACAAAGGCGAAGCTTCTTTGGGGAAATTGATCAAAAGTCACACTCAGCTCATCCGCCAGAAGCTTATTGGTAAATTCCATAAGGTTAATTATATAAATCTCGCAACAAAATCTCGAGTCAGAAGAAGCATGCTGCAAACATCATGGTTACACTGGAGATAAAATGCCAACCTATCCTCAACTTACCATCATTAGCTTAGGAGAGAATCCAAAGAGAGCGCACCATATGAAATGCCATGTTGTTAAACTGATACGCTGTAGTGTTTATGTTCCACTATTAACCCCTGGTGAGGCAAAACATACTTTAACAATAATAAAGTCATATTTCTGAAGAGTGACGTGCATCCACTCAGCGGCTGGTGTTTGCGGAGGATATCGCAGGTCACAGACTCAGTGACGCCCAAACAAGTGTAGCCTAACTTCATACTGTTGAGACATCTTTATTTTGGTTCATTGAATAGCTCTGCGAGATTCACAGTGTGATGTACTGCTGCTAGGCAATGATGAACGGAAAGATGGACAACATCTTTCTGTCTTTCACACTCTGTGACCTTCTCATGGAGAACTTGTGTCTTGTTAATGTTCATAAAAGCATCTGTTGTTTTTCCCAAGCTGCTTAATTCCACACACATTTCCTGTATGGTCTCCATAACCTAGGAAGTTTGACCTTATCATAGGCACTTATGGTGGATTTCATTCCCCTATTATAGTCTAATATTCTAATATCCTATTAGGGATTTGTGTTACCTTAATCTTTGCCCTCCATAATAAAACTTACTGAAAGCCTCTTAAAGGATGCAGTAACTTGGCTGGTCCACACCAGCATGGCGTCAGTAAATTGGTATCGACATTACTGATTGGCCTAGGGTTTTTGTACTGAATTTGGGCAGTAATTGGACATGATGTTGCCGCCACCTTTCTCTAGTTGCCCTGGGGAACAACATTTCAGAAACACCCACCAATATTCATTTTGGCGGCTCTCTATTGGTTTACTGTTAAATCGATACATTGCAATTTAGGGGCACGATCTGAGTAGCCTTTCACCCACCTCTGTTAAATTGCACCTCGCCACCAACATGCGACTCATTTTGACTTTGGTGGAGAAATCTGATAATTGGAAACTAAAACTGTTGATGCTTTTCAGGCAGATGAAACTCCCCAATCTTTGCACACTCCTGAAAAGTGCAGTTTTCCCTCATTCTGCTCGCCCTTTTAAAAGTTTAGATTTCTCTGATTCTCCTCTCCCTCCTAGTCTGGGCTTGCCTGTTATGTCTCTGTTCCAAACAACTTGACTCATGTCTCTGAAGTTGGTTCTTTGTGTGTGAGGACTCACTCCATTAGTTGTTCTGTTGAATGGGGCAGAACACGCAAACACATTGACCTAACTGTGGGTTGCTTTGTGTACATATGATCCTGTCTGTGCATCAGTGCTGGATTCAATTCGCAGCCCGTTCAGGTATCAGAACTTCCTTCAAATTACATTACATACAATTGCATGTTGTTTTTTCAATGGGAAATACAAATAGTTTTTAAACAAATTATTCTGCTTTTTAGTCCTGCTCTTGCATCTTTGAGTGTCTGGCCAGCTGTTGCCTCCAGTTTAACACCACTATGGAATAAGTGGTTTGGTCAGTTTAATAGCTGAGTTTGTTTTTGAGGTCACGACTAATGATGGTCAGGGTGATGCTGTTTGTGGCAATCATGCTGGCACTGCTGCAGACTCAAATCTAATAATGACGAATGATAAGAACCCTCAAATATTCCTATTTTCCAGATGTTTAAAAAAAAAAATCATTTTGAATATATTCATCCCACACAGAATTAATTCAATCCATGTTGTTGTTCTGCTTTACTTCCAGGTCTCTCCTAAGCTTTTAATTATGAAACTTCTTTTAGCACATAGCTTTATTTAATCTGGGATGTAGACATGTTTCTCCTAGCTTTTCTGAGCTATAGAAACTGTGTTACACTATGGAAAAGTCACACAGACATGCGCACACACAATGAGAGGAGAGTGTTAGTTGAGATCTTTTCATGCAAGCTTGAGTGCATGTGTCAGCCTTCTAAATAAGCCCCACCCTCAAGCCTCTTGGCCTATTGAAAAGCTATAAGCTAACCCCCCCTTACATTTGATCTGGAATGAATAGGTGTCAAGATCACTCTGCAAAGTCTGAATTGTCCTCTTGTTTATTATGATGACCAAGCTGTGATATGGTCAGTTTCAACAATTCAGCTGCTATATGGTTGTGGCTGTTGTGTTTCTACTTCATACGGCCCCTACCATCCCAATCATTTTAGATTCCACAGTTCGGCTGTTGGTTTCTGGTTACAGACGTTCATATTTCTGTGCCATGTTGTGTTTTTAGCTCTGAAGCACTTTTCTTTAAATTTAACAAGCACATTTATTCTAAGATACTTTATCACTTTGTTTGAACATATATCCTTGAACTAGATAGCAACACAGTTTGAAATAAATATGTGGGAGTGTGTGTGTTTGTGTTCAAGTTTGTCTGTGCAGGTGTGTAGGTGTATGTGCGAACCTGGTGGTTCAGAGGTGTAAAGATGTACTCAAAGTGCTCACATGAGGGGTGTTTTTTTTGTGTGAGTGTGTACTCATGAACTTGGCAGCTTAGGGATGTTCTCAGAAAACTCCTGTGGTATGTGTGTTACTGTGTACATGTGCGTGCCAGAATGTCTATACGTGGGAGATTTTGTGATTTTATATGTGTGTGTCAACTTGGCATCATAACGGTGCTCCTTTTGTTGCGTGTGTGTGTGCGCGCGCGCGCGCACTTGGCATTATGATATTGCCAGAGCCCCCATGCTGTCTCCTATTATGCTCTGATCCTGTCCCATGGTGCACTGCAGCCATCCAGGGTTCAGTGCTTGTAGGGGGGGGGACAGCTGGGAATTATTGGAACTAAATAGGCCAATTTGATTGGCTGCGCTGCTCCAACCAGCGCTATGCGATTGGCTGAGCAAGTTTTATGTGGTAAATTTAATGCTTTTTCAGTATCAGAGCGAGAGAGGGAGATAGAAAGAGTGAGCGAAGGAAAGGGTGAACAGATGAGGAAGGGAGAGATCTCTCTGGGTGGTTTGTACCAGCTTTGATCACTCCACTAGGACTTGACAAGCTGACTGACTAACACATACACACACAGACGCACACACACGCACGCGCGCGCACACACACACACACACACACACATACACACACAGCAAGATATCTCTGTGGTCAAACAATGCTACATTCTGTCTGCATTCTCTGCATGTGTGTATGTGAGCGTACCAGTGTGTGCACGGACAGGCGTTCACAGGAGTGTGTGAAAGGAAGTCTTTGACTGTGTCTGGGGTTGTTTTGTATAGGAGACCCTCCTGCTGCTAGCAGCAGCCTAGTGATGGCAGATTTCCCTCTGTGCCTTCTTTTTTTGTTTTATCCTTGCTTACTCATCCGAACATTTCATAGACTCTTACTTTAAGTGTGATGAGGTATTTTTCCGCCCACCTTTTCTCTATCCTTTTAGTCTGCGCCCTCTGTTAGTTGCTGAATGGATTATACTGACCTTTTTTTTCTCTTGCCTTTGGCCTTTGCATGTTCATCCATCTCAGTAGATTTCATGTTGGACTGTGAAAATGCTGGACAATGTCTGTCCACCTACAGCTCTTAGCATTTTATACATGGTTTGCTTGGAACACATAGCAATTACAGCTCGGCCTATTTCAAGAATCAAGAGCCTGAACGTGGGTTGTTTGTGTAGCGGCAGAGAACTTTGCAGGCAGGCTTTTCTTTGAGGACAGCAGAGATGAAATCCGGTTCTGAAAGCGCAAGTGTGGTTTTCAAATGGCTGTGTCGACAAACTGCGTCACACCACTTGCACCATTCACTATCGCTCCCTCTCCGCAGGGGAAAACCCAGGATGGAACATAAGAGTGTGTGTGTGTGTGTGAATGTGTGCGTGTTTACCAGAGAGACGGGCTGAGTGAGAGAAAAGAGAAAGGAGAAGCTAAATGTTCTGAAACTGATTCCCAGCGTCTCCTGCTGTTGGGCCTAATTCCATCTAGAGTTTCATGTAAAGATCTGGAATTATGAATTTTTCATGGCCTGCGAAACCTAAGGCCTCATTTGGGGCTCTCATTTCCAGGCTTTTTGTTTTAGTTAGTTGTGGGTGTGTGTGTGTGTGCGCGCGCCTGTGCTGTGTGTGGGGCGGGTGTTTGGAGAGAACGCCGTTTGTTCCCAATCAATGGCCTACTATATAGTTCCCACTGGTCCCATGCAGCCCTGCACTGCAAAAAATGATAAGCCTGTTGTAGTGTTTTTGATCACAGATTCAGAAGTACAGTTACTTCATTGTCTGTTAAAGTTGTGTCAT